AAAAATCGTTTAAAATCACCAAAAATCATCTAATTAGTACTTGTGTCCAGTATAAAGCTGACCATTTAATTTTGATAATGAGTGTTCAATTTAAAAGCGTTTAATTTCTCGACCACTCTTAAAAAATAAACAACCCAATTAATTTTTGAACAGATGTCAGGAAATTAAATACTTGTAAATTGGACACTCATTATCAAAATTAATCAGTCAGCTTTAAACTAGACACAAATACAAATTAGATGATTTTAAATTATTTTTGCCTATTTTTAAACAAGGATTTGATATAAAAACAAAATGTGAAAAAAATTAGTGCTTGATACACAAGATTAAATGCTACCCGGGTTACAGTGTTAGGCCTTACAATATAAATAGTTCAACAATTCATGTATGGTGACTTTATAATTTATCATTTTCCTCTCATGAAATGTCAATTTCTATGTAGATACAGACACATGCTAACACTCAGATAAAATCCATATTTTTTGTCTTTATATTAAAAGCTATTAGGAAGTAATCTTTAAACAGGAAGCAATAAATTGACATCACCATGTTTAAATAATGGATTCACAGTATGATAATATTTATTAAACATGCATTATTAAGAGCTAAATCTGCATATTGCAGGTGTTTTTTCTACCTTCAAACGTTATATAAATTATCATTTAGTCATTTATTCACATGACAAACCCATAATCAACTCTCTCGGTCATCAGATACCTTAGGTTTTGAATAGATTAAAAGTTGTAATCTAATTAAAATGAAATGAAATGCAATGGGGTTTAACGTCCTACTGTTCTGCTCCTACTAGGGTAATGAAGACAGTCATACGCAATACAGTGTTCTAAGTGAAATTTTGCCCAGGCAGCAGCACTATGTCCTACTCTTATATCGAATTCCAACTGCCAATGTATACACCGGTCTTCGTATCATCCAAACGACTAAACATCTGTCCTTGTCAGGCCCTCCGTTCTGCACCACTGACAAGGGGGAACCATGCTTGAAAATCCTGTTGAACATGCTTGGCCAACGCTGGGATCGAATACGCGACCTCCAGGCTACCGCGCCAGCGTCTTACCCATTTAGCCACCGTGACTCCTCTAATCTAATTAGCAAGAATGTCTATGTAACTTTTACATAAACTAAAGTAATAATATCGTTATTAATTCAAACCTGGACAAAATGGTTTTTAATTTAAACTAAAACCTCATAGTCGAAACTTTGTATTAATAATAATATTGATAAAAATCAGAAAAAATACAAATCAATGCCGGACAAAATGACAGCCATGAGAAGCATTGTGTCTGATAAGCCTGAATTTGTGTCCGACATAGAAATGGGGAGGAACGCATATAATAATGTAATATAAATGTATATAAACTGATTTACATTCAATCGTTTCTGTTTTTACTTTAATTTCAAATCAGTTATGTTCAGTGAAAAATGCCTGAAGTCTCAATCGAATATCAATCTCTGTGCATGCTCTCCAGATAAGAATATGGCGTCACTGTTTGACGTGACTTCTGGAATATGTCTAGCCTCGTTTTTCAAGTCACTTATTACAAATGGTGCTGAAACGCATTATGGTACATGATTCGTGTACAAAGGATAAAATGTTTATTTTGACTTAAATATTGGATATCAGAAGCCCATCTTTTCCCGGTAAGATCATAACATTAACATTGATTTAAATTGACAAATAATTTGTGTTTTCAATTTCGAAGACTTTGGATGATATTGAGTTAGAGACTTAGCTACTTTAAATATTGGATATCAGAAGCCCATCTTTTCCCGGTAAAATCACAACATCAATGTTGATTTAAATTAACAAATAATTTGTGTTTTCAATGTCGATGACTTTGGATGATATCAGGGCTGTCGGTAATTTTTCACAGTTGATTAGCAGCACTGCTAATCAAAAAGTCCAATTTTGCCAAATTTGATTAGCAAATTTAAAAATTGATTAGCAGTTTTTCAGTTTTAACATAAAACACCTAAATAACAAGATATTACTTTAGCTCATAACAAATATGATTAGATTTCATTCTTACTATTCTTAGATTTTTTTAGCACTGCCACAAGTACTTGTGACAGTTTGTGAATGTGATGTAGACATTTAGTTAGGTCTTATGTCTGAAGTGACTTCCGAAGCCGCAATCATTTTAATTGTTATTTTTTGTTATGTTAGAAATCTTCGTTAGAAAACAATTTCGTCTGCTTTTTATCGTGTATTGCTATTTTTGTTAAATCGGGCGCACTTCGATTAACTAGACACACACGATATTTTACGGGAATTTTTACTTTGATTTATCATTTTACAATACGTTAACACATATTTATTTTTTTATATTTTATTTACAATATGTGGGGGATACACTGGATTTATTTCTTTCATAATGAATATGATATAATTACTTGATGTCTCGCAACGTGAGTGGTACTACTTTATTCCCTATTTCCGGTTTAATAGTCCCTATTCATAGAGTTATGTCCCTGTATTATATAGTACCGTATAATGAATTGTGTCTGGGTAGTTCGAGTAGAAAATGTCACTCGGAGAATTCAGTTTTGTTTATAAAATTTTATTCAATATTTTATACATGTTGAAAGTGTTGACAAAGCCTTCTAGTCTTCAAATGTGGATTATCCTTGTGTCAATATCCAAAATGACAGGCATATTAATGATTCGCAGTTACTGCGAATCAAAAACTTTAGATTTTAATTTTTGATTAGCAACGGACAAAATATGTATCGCAAATTGCGCTGCGATACTGGTTGTCGGCAGCCCTGGATGATATTGAGTTAGAGACATAGCTACTTTAAACTGCTAGAATTAATACTCAATCTTAGATTCGACCCTGTATCATTTGACAACAACACAAAATGACATTTATTTAGTACACTATAGTTCCATTTTATGAACATTACACCATTTTAACTTCTTATCCATGAAAACAATAGTAACAATCAACTTGACTCAGGCTACAGATAAATCTATTATACCAATAATCTATTTTTGTCTGAACAGACACAAGTTTTATTGAAAACCATTTATATCTGTTACTGATTACATATAAATCTCGTAACAATACATTATGAAAACTAATGTCTTGACACATGTACGAATAAAAAAATTAGACAAGTATATATTTGACAACAGGTCAAATGTCAGTTTTATAATGCAAGTTCTCTTCTTTCTTTATAAATTATAACACATTTATTCAACTTAAAATTCATTGTTTTATTAAGACCATTTTTATGAATACTAAAATATAATTTTTAGATTTATTTAATATCAGTATGACAAATTTCTACTAACACAACACGGCAATCTTATCACCTGTGTGTAATTTTATTCTTTAAAATAACAACTTCATGTTTAGATTTGGGTGTTTGTGGTTTTATAAATGCATGTGGATTTTTTTTCTTTCTTAAAACCCGAAACTGTATGACACTACAAGATAAGCAAGACAAGTTTAATTTTCATGGTGTTATTTTGCAGTGTGTATTGCACAGGTGCAGTTTATGTAATATACCCAAAACACAATCACTTGTTCGGATGGGATGAAAATCTGAGCTCCCATGTATACATTGACGTGCACGTAAAAGATCCCTTGGCAGTCAAAAAATCGATATAAGACTAGGCCATAGTGCCGCTGCCAGGCAAAATTCCCTCATAGCACACTGCATGGCATTTTCCCATCTTCATTAGATGAGTCGGAGCAAAACAGTAGGACGTTAAACCCCATTTCATTTCATTTCCAAATCACAATCAGTTATACATGCAGCTATAAAAGAGCTTAAACCAAACTACTGACACCTAAATCGTTTGCCATTAAATAGAATAGGAGATTAACATTCATAAGGTTTGAACAGAATTTGATTAATAGTGTTTTGAAAATGGTTTATCCATGACATATCAAATACAGTTTTGACCTGAATACCCATGAATCACATTTAAATAAATCATTATTTCAACCATATGTGCAATTTGTCAGTTTAACCGCCTCATATACAGCAATACTTCGGCTATTAATATTTTAACAATTTCTAGTCTAAAGGTACATGTATCATAAACTGGCAGGCTGGTTGTCAGTTACGTCACTTTAGATACTGATATACCAAAGTATCACAAAAATTTGTTACAATTAAACTACGCGGATGAGAAGTGGTATTAGATCTTCAAGAAAGATTATGCATAACATGCCTCGTGGACAACACCTGTCAATAGTCACATGTTTACACATAGTTCATTGGGGCTCTAGTTTTGATCCGGATTTCGTAAACGGAAGCATTGGTTAATGACAACCATGGGGCCCACTGGTCAACTTTTTTCAATAAATATCCTTACATCATTATTCCATTAAATATCATCAATATAGAGAAAGAGAAATGTGGTTTAACGTCCATTCCAGACAAACTAGGTCATGGTTAAATTTTATTTCAATAATTCACTTGCGCGTAGGGGGTCTTTAGCAGTCGTAGGAAACCGGAAGATGGACAGGCAACCTTACTCCTTGTCATGTACAACCGGGGGGAATCGAAACCACGCGAAACGTGTAATATCACTATATATTACCTTTTCATATACTAACATGTTGAAACGTCGTGCTGTATGTGCATAAACCAGTGATTGTTTTCCAAATAAATTGTGTTTTTTTGTGTGTTTTTTTTTAATCGCTAAATTTCATTCAAGGATTACAATGGCCTACTCTTTTATCAAATTCCAACTGCCAAGGGCTCTTTTACGTGCACGGCAATGTATACACAGGAACTTGTTTTTGTCCCATCCAAACGACTAAACAGCTGTCCTTGTCAGGTCCTCAAGGGGGGAACCACGTCTGAAAATCCTGATGAACTTTCTCGGCCAATGCAGGGATCGAAAACCCGACCTCCAGGCTAGCGATCCAGCATCTTAACCACTTAGCCACCGTGGCTCCTTTTTTTTACTTTCTTAATTATGCCTAATCTTTAATTGTCAGTCAAGGAAAACAATATCTCACCTGATGAACTGTTATAAGAATAGCTGCCACTGCAAATGTTCCTGCGATGCCTTGGGCTGCAGTAGTCTGTAAAAAGATCAGGGGTATTGGAGCCGATATATTGGATACATTAGGATCGAGTGATGAACCTGTTACATCTGGGTTAAATGTGGTAGTTGTTTGGGTTGTAGTAGGAATTGAACTTGTTGTAGTTGGTTCAGGAACTGCTGTAGTTGATTTTATAACGGCAGACACCAAATTAGCCAAGACTTTAGTTGTGGATGATGGTGACAATGTTGTGGAATCAATGGTAGCCATCTGAAAAATGTATACATTGAAGAAATCAATTTAAGAAAAATGCACTTTTTCAAATTCCATCGATTCATCCAGTAGGAAATTCTTTAGTAGTGGATAATGGTGACAATGTTGTGGAATCAACAGCAGCCATCTGAAAAATGTATACATGTACACTGACGAAATCCATTTAAGAGTAATACACTTTTTCAAATTCCATCGTTTCGGCCATACACACAAAGAGCACTACATTTATTATTATATCGTAAAAATGAAGAATTTGGGTCACCATATGCAATCTGATTAAAATACACATCTATGTTTCGTTTGGTTTTTTTTTTTTATACGTTCGATGGCCTCCACTACATGAAGATCTGATAAGTTGTAGTGGGAGGTTGCATCAGGGGTCATACGAGCAGCCTTTGACCCTGTGACATTAACATTTTATCAACCAATCAGTGCTGATGTCTCTACTGGGATTCCCAGTTTCATGCACACTACGTCAAAAAAACTAGCCGCAACAAGCCGTTTCATTGGCTAATACCTTACATCAACCAAAACGCAGGTTATATAACAACTCTTCCAGATCCTAGTGTTGTGAAGACAAGTAAAATGAAATTTTGAGACTATAATTAACGAAATGAAATAGGATCTGTGTTTTAATCAAATTGCTCCATATGTGACCCAACAACAAAATAAAATATAGATTTGTTACCATGGTAAATCAACTCTATCGTCAAACTTACAACACTACAGCAAAATAATTAAAATTGATTAATTAGATGTTGAACTAATCAATGTTCTTGATAACGAAATGAAAATAAAATGAAATGCGGTTTAACGTCTTACTGTTCTGCTCTGACTGGGCTAATGAAAATGGACAAACATGTACGCCATAATGTGGGCTAAATGAGGGAAATTTTGCCTAAACAGTGGCACTATGGCCTACTCTTATATCGAATTACAACCGTCAAGGGATCTTTTACGTGCACACCAATGTGTACAGGAGACCTGTTTTTTTGTCCCATCCAAACGACTAGACAGCTGTCCTCTTATATCGAATTCCAACTGTCAAGGGATCTTTTACGTGCACACCAATGTGTACGCGTGACCCCTTTTTTCCGTCCCATCAGAACAACTAGACAGCTGTCCTTGGTGGGCCCTTCGTCCTGCATCACTGACAAGGGGGAATCACGCCAGAAAATCTGGATGAACTTTCTCGGCCAATGCAGGGATCGAACACCTTAACCACCGTGATCCCTCGAGGGCATAATAACATTCTGGTTACCAAGCTTGCATCCTTGCTCACTCAGCCACCGTGATATATGTACATGTGGATTCACAGCTCAGCAGAAATTCAGCCAGTTGTGTGCATAAATTGATTGAAGCATGTAAAATGAGGGCATAATTAATTACTATAGAAACAGATCGAAGCTATGAGAGGATTGTTTGGCTGATAATATGTCTGGATTATCAACAAACCTTTTTTAACTTATATCACACACAAAGACAAATTTCAACAGATAGATCAAGAGAGAGAGAGAAATGGGATTTAACGTCCACTCGACACAAACTAGGTCATTTCGGGACTAACATATGGTTTAATTTTATTTCAATAATTAGCTTGCGCGTAGGGGTCTTTAGCAGTGGGAGGAAACCGGAGGACCCGGAGAAAACCGATAAGGTTGGACAGACGACCCTACTCCTTGTCACGTACAACCGGGGATTCGAAACCACGCCAGTCGACTCAATGACAGACTTTATGATACAGCGCGCGCACGCTAACAATTAAGCCATCCAACCCCCCTTCAACAGATAAAAATATATAATTTTGACATAAACATGTACATCATAATCGATTCAATAGGATTTGTTTTGAAACATTTGTTCTAGACGAAAATGATCAATACCGTGTATTATTCACAATGTGATAAACTACAAGTGAAAAGACTTGTCTAGTAGTTGATAATATATACCAGGTATGTGAAAATAAACAGATCAAAATCAATAACACCTGTATAGAATATAATACTGTGGTATAATCCTACTGTTTTACATATTGTAGAATACTTTACCTGTATATACCTGTACAATCACACAGTCTTACATTAAAGAAGCATTACGTAAGATTAGATAAAGAGAGAGAGTTTACCATCCACTTGACACAAACTTGGTCATTTCGGGCCTAACATAAGGTTCCATTTTATTTCAATAATTTGTTTGCACGTACATGTAGGGTCTGTAGCAGTGGGAGGAAATCGGAGGACCCGGGGAAAGCCCACGAGATTTGACAGACAACCCTACTCCTTGTCACGTACAACCAGGGAATCGACACCACGCCAGTTGACTTAATGACAGACCTTGTGATACAATGCGCAAGCTTCAAATTGCGTCACTCTGAACCGAGATATTAGAGATTCAATTTTAGGTTAGCCTCAATCATTACTAAGGTTAGTAAGATAATAAACAAAGTCTTGATTAGCCATTTTTTCATTAAATTACCTATCACAAAATGTATTCAAATCCAGTAAATATCAAAGGCTAACAATGGCGTTGAGAGTTGATTACGGTCAGGAAAAGATAATGTCTAATTGATAATTCAGATAACATCTAAATCCTAAAAATAACCTGCAATAGGTAGATTTAGCTCTTGCATAATGTATATTTAAGTTCATTATCTCATTATATTAAGTTGATGAGCCTATTATCACTTACTTAAATATAGCATTATAGTATAACACTGTTATTACTGTAGTATTATAAAATTGACAAGCAAATATCTGTAAACCCTGAAGGATTGTAGCAAATTATTTCACAGGCTAGATGTACATTCTTTTTTCCATAACCACAGATGCCTCAAGTTAAACATGCATATGCAAGAGATAAATCTGTCTATTGCACGTCTTTCTTTATGTTATATAAACTATTAATTAGACATTTATTAAACATACATTATGCAAGAGCTAAATCTGCCTATTGCACATTTTTCTTTAGGTTTGAAATGTTATCTTAACTATTAATTAGACATTTATTAACAAAACAAGACCATAATCAACTCTTGATGCAATTGGATACTCAAGATTTTAACTAGAATAACTGTTTGCCATTTAAAAAATTAATTTAAAAATGGGAAAGTGAGACGAAGTCTCAAATATCTAATTATAATGTATTTTTAACATGAAAAGACCATAATCAACTCTCAATGTCATCTGATGCTTTCTATATTCATTAGATTTTAATCCCATCTACATGCATCGTTCAACAGCCATTGATGATTAAACGCAAAAATGGATAATCAAGTATTTTCGTCACAATGGCAACGACAATCCAGGTTACAAGGTTTTTAAAATGAGTATTTCTCGACTTAGGCTGAAGTAATTTGATGGAAATTTTCAGAATATTCCTGTTACATTATCTATTATTTAACTCTTATAGTGAGAAATTTCAGCTCTTTATCTAATCTTCCACAATGTATCTTTAATATTTTGCTTTCTGTTAAATGTAGGATATGTATTCAATTGTGCTATGTTTTACTTTTAGTATTACATGTTTTGTCTATTTTTTGTTGTGCAGCTGTCATGCATTATCTATTAAAGATAGGTTCCCGCGTACAAACTAGGCGATTTAATGGTATATATGGACTAAAAACATATTCAAACTAATTAATTTGTCATAACTTTGCTTCAAATCCTTCTCAAACATTCTTATTGCTAAGGAATGTCCTGCTATAAAAATTCGATCAAACCAGGTCATGTTTACTTCACGTGACTTACCTCTCTTGCAAGTCAGAGGAGAATTCATTGCATACATAAGACGATGTTGTCTTTAATCGCTTACTATTTATTACAAAACGCAGGTTATATAACAACTCTTCCAGATCCTAGTGTTGTGAAGACAAGTAAAATGAAATTTTGAGACTATAATTAACGAAATGAAATAGGATCTGTGTTTTAATCAAATTGCTCCATATGTGACCCAACAACAAAATAAAATATAGATTTGTTACCATGGTAAATCAACTCTATCGTCAAACTTACAACACTACAGCAAAATAATTAAAATTGATTAATTAGATGTTGAACTAATCAATGTTCTTGATAACGAAATGAAAATAAAATGAAATGCGGTTTAACGTCTTACTGTTCTGCTCTGACTGGGCTAATGAAAATGGACAAACATGTACGCCATAATGTGGGCTAAATGAGGGAAATTTTGCCTAAACAGTGGCACTATGGCCTACTCTTATATCGAATTACAACCGTCAAGGGATCTTTTACGTGCACACCAATGTGTACAGGAGACCTGTTTTTTTGTCCCATCCAAACGACTAGACAGCTGTCCTCTTATATCGAATTCCAACTGTCAAGGGATCTTTTACGTGCACACCAATGTGTACGCGTGACCCCTTTTTTCCGTCCCATCCGAACAACTAGACAGCTGTCCTTGGTGGGCCCTTCGTCCTGCATCACTGACAAGGGGGAATCACGCCAGAAAATCTGGATGAACTTTCTCGGCCAATGCAGGGATCGAACACCTTAACCACCGTGATCCCTCGAGGGCATAATAACATTCTGGTTACCAAGCTTGCATCCTTGCTCACTCAGCCACCGTGATATATGTACATGTGGATTCACAGCTCAGCAGAAATTCAGCCAGTTGTGTGCATAAATTGATTGAAGCATGTAAAATGAGGGCATAATTAATTACTATAGAAACAGATCGAAGCTATGAGAGGATTGTTTGGCTGATAATATGTCTGGATTATCAACAAACCTTTTTTAACTTATATCACACACAAAGACAAATTTCAACAGATAGATCAAGAGAGAGAGAGAAATGGGATTTAACGTCCACTCGACACAAACTAGGTCATTTCGGGACTAACATATGGTTTAATTTTATTTCAATAATTAGCTTGCGCGTAGGGGTCTTTAGCAGTGGGAGGAAACCGGAGGACCCGGAGAAAACCGATAAGGTTGGACAGACGACCCTACTCCTTGTCACGTACAACCGGGGATTCGAAA